CCCCTTTTTTCTTTTCTTTTTTTTTTATATAAAACGTATTTTATTTACAAAATAAAAGTCGCCAACTTGGCAGCAGCAGAAGGAGAAAGCATGTATGCAAATCACTTTTCTAACATGTCAGGCATGACGCAGCACGCTTGATTAAGGGGTAATGGTCATTTACAAATTATACAGTGTCTATTTATATTTTTGGCTCTTTTCGCCGTGTACATTTTCAAAGAGGATTTCACTGCAGGCCACTGCGCAAAGTCAGACATTTCAGTGTGTTCCAGCACGCTGCTGGTGTAAGCAAAGCCGTCCACAAAGTGGTTCCAAGCGGGGTTGCTCTTCTGCACCCGAGACTTCGAGATCGCGTGCAGCTCGAGTAGAAAAAGCACTTCGACACATTTTTTTGTTATCGCCAGCTTGGATTTCAAGAAACTTCATTGTATTCCAGTCCGGCCGTGCGTCTATGTTGGACGCGTGGCCGAGCTCCGACCAAAATATTGCAGCGTTTGTACAGTACATGAACACATGTTGTAAAGTTTCCGGGAAGGGACACAATGGACAATTAGTGGTCCACGGCACAAAGAACCCTTTGACTTCAAGCCATGTCTTCACGGGTAGAACTTCCATATGGATTCTAACAAAAAAGTCTTTAGTGCTTGTTTGTGCGGGATGTTTCCGCAAACGTTTTAATACCGGTGATACTCCTAGGGATCTATGTGGGAGGCGATACAACGGAGGCGGTAGAGCCAAATCGATGGTACCCCAACAAAGAGTTTTCCTTTTCACCTGCATGAGGTTGTCCCAGGAAAAACGAGTTTGGAAGAAATCGATCGCGTCTTCGATCTTCTTGTAAAATCTAAGTACAGGAGCTCTCGGAGAAGCCTCCACCGTACTCATTTGCCAGGCTGCCAAGTAGCACCCTCCTAAAGATTTAGAGGACCGTACCGTTCCGGGTTCACTTGGTCTCAAAAAAAACAAAACAAAGAAAACGCTGAACTTTCAATTTTAACTCTAAATTAACGAGCCCCAGCCTCCCCCCCCCCCCCCCCCCCCCCCTCGAAAACACTCAAAAACAAATTAGTTCTGCGCGTCCGTTCAAACATTGATTGCCAAACGAAGGTGGTACAAAGTCTATGACATTTGTGAATGTCTGATGAACGAGAAGGCATGATTTTAGCGACGTACCATACGCTACGAGAAGACAGAATTGCACACAAAAGATCTATTGAACAAAGAGAGGTATCTTCTGTACCATTAGCTCATCTTCCCCTGGACGCTCTTTAAATGGATTCCGTCCCGGTCCGTACTTATCTGTTCTGTATCAAGCCCAACCCCGAGGTAATTATTGACTGAGCAAGACCAGTTCATGCCCATGTAGCACTTAGGTGTTGTCGCCCATGGGCCTAGGCAACACCCAATTGATTTTGAGGTGTTAATTTTTGCCCCTGATTTGCTACAGAACTCATTTATATGCTTCACGGCGTACTCCAACTCTTTTTTAGTAGTGCATACAATGGCGATGTCGTCTGCATAAGCAAGTATCCTAGTTGGTAGCTCGCTAGATTCGCGCCATGGATATACGTATCGGCTGTGTTTGTTTTACACAGGGGCTCTAAGTATAATGCCAACAATAGCGGTGACATTGGTCACCCATGTCTGACTGACGATTTTACCCGGATAGAGGCAGTCTTGCGCCCGTTCACTAATATTCGAGTGGTTATGTCTTTATAGCATATTTTAATGTAGTTTGTTAGTCGATCTCCCAGGCGGCAACGTTCGAGCAGAGCTAAGAGGAAAGAGTGTGACACCATGTCAAAAGCTTTGCTTAGGCGTACTTGGAGGACTGCTATATGGGGTGTTGCTGCGCCTCCTCTGTTTCACAGATAATTCTCATTGTATGCGCGTTCGATGTAATGGATCTGCATTTGAACCCATAAGGCTGATGGTCTCCTACAATAACACCTAAACCATGATCAAGGCGTTTAGTCAGGGTTTTTGCAAGAATCTTATAATCCGTCGTGAGTAAGCTGATTGGCCTGAGGTTGTCCGCACTTGATACGCTGGAGGCCGCATGTTTTTTCGGAATAAGAACGGTCAGAGCTTTACGCATCGATGGAGGGAGCAAGTTTCTTTTTAGAATGTCTTCGTATACGTTGCGAAGCATCGTATTTAAGAGGCTTGAAAACTTCTTATAAAAAGCTGACCCCAGTCTGTCCACCCCCGAAGACTTTCCAGCTTTCAGCTCTTTAATCGCGGCTTCTATTTCTTCATCTGTACTTTCCCCGTTTATTTTTTCCGAGATGCCAAGAGGAATTTCAGGCATTACTTGAAGAAACTTCTCTAAAATTGTTTCTTCGACATGTTTACGCTCACTTAGCAGCTCTGAGAACGTCTCCGCAAGTTCCTTTTCAATGTCGCTGTGCTCTGAAACGATCTTGTCCCCGGTTTGTAGTGATGTTATTTTATTGTTACAAATGTGGTTACGCTCTTTAGTTTTGAAATTTTTTACCGCTCTTCCTCTTGATGCAAGGAATGCAGCCGACGTCGGACCATTGCAGCTCGATATTCCTTCTCCAGATCGTAAAAAGTTTCGCCTTGCACTCAAGAATATCACTGGCGAACAGCAGGCCAGGACTTAAGTTTTCTTCGCGAATCAAAATGGAAAGGGTCTCTTCTAATGAGCGCTTCTCGGCTCGCGTGCGTGCAGCTTTATCTTGGCTGTACCTAAAGATAATTAATTTTGCTTTTTTCTTTAAAAATTTTCCAATTAACTGCGTGGACTACGCAAGCTTTGTTTGTTTCACGAATAACTTCCTTAATTTTTTTAACAAGTGGCTCATTTTCTAGCAAACTCTCATTCATTTTCCATGTACTCCACCCGGCGTCTTTTTTTGCTTTGGGTCTAGTTCTACCCAACCGAACCGATACCAATGCATGATCAGAGAATGCAACGGGGTGACCGCGTATGCTTCAGCACTGGTCAGACATTCATTTGATGCGTACACTCGATCCAGACGCGAGTGGCAAGTTCCCTGCCAATGGGTATACCCGGTAATCGGCGCCGTCACCATTTATGTTACGTTCTGAAGGTCAAAATCCCGTAAGAGTTTCCTTAGCTCTCCAAGGCTGGAGTCGGTTTTATACCCGTTTAAACAGCCTCCTGCATTTAAGACACGGTTAAAATCACCCACTAGTATCGTGTTGGCCGGCGTGTTTAAGCATTGCTGCAGACTGATAAAAAAAGATTTACGGTCGACGGGAAAATTGGGGGCGTGAACACAGCCTACTCTGAACAGTTCGCGATGAAACAGCAGTTTGACAGCGCGGATCCGACCATTCTTATCACTTTACCACTCTCGTAGGATACTGAGGGCACTTTTTTAACGGATAAGAATAGCCGCCCCTTCGCTATGAGCGATAGCGTTTGGATGAAATAAGCGCTCCAGAAAGCAGACCATTTCTTGCACCTGTGAGCTGCAGGCAAGCTTCGTTTCTTGCAAAAACACAATATCTGCATTTTGCTTCAGCAGCTCATTTAAGACCCATTGTTTTCGTTTACGATCTATCAGACTAATGCAAGTAAATGTTACAAATTTTAACTGTCCCATCGTAAGCATATAAGTGGCACGACCCCAAGTCCCGCCCACACGAAACTACGAGCCAGAAAGGGAAGCGAGAAACCCGCGCATACCATAACATATCTGGTGCGACCCTTTTCGATGCTGGAGAAAGTTCGGACGGTTGACCCGCTAAGAAGCCTTTTCATCTCGGTTGTCCGAAGGGGTCCGCGACTTGAGCGGCCTAAGCCGTCCGGGCTTCGTCGAGTCGACTTTCCAGCGTTGTTGGACCGGTTGACCGACAAGCTCTTCCTCGGCACTGTTCTTTTGTTCGAGGTGTCGCTTGCTTGAAGTAGTTGCCACCTCCATCGCTTCAGCGTCCTGGGCCGAGTCGTCCGGTCTCACATAGTACTGTGCCGCCCTGCACTGCATTGCCACGTCAAGGGTCGGCTCCTCCGTGGCCCCGATCTCGATTGCGAGCCTCGCCTTGTCGCTGTGGTGGGACGTCTCCGAAGGAGCGTCCAAAGTGCGCTCGACTTCAGGAGACGGGGTCCCGGCGGCGGCTTCGGGCAGTCCACCGGCCCTCGAGGTCCCGGCTACGGTACTCTCATGGGTGTCCGCGCTGGCTTGTTCCGCCTCTCCTTCATCCATCATCAGGTGGGAGTTCTCGACAAAATGCGGGCCGGCCGTGGCCGCTGCGTACGATCTGACGCAGTCCGCCTTGGTGTGGCCGAACCGGTGTCCGTCCACACAGCGAGGTGTGCGGCGGTCCCTCCTGATATGCCCCGTCTGCTCGCATCGGAGGCATAGCGGGGCACGTCCGGGCACCGAGACGAGGGAAGTGCCGCCGAAGAAGCGGAGCTTGTGAGGGATATATAACTCATACACCATAGAGAAAGCTCGTGCTGAAGGCGGAGCTTCTAGTCTTAGCTTAAGGATGAACGGAGTAATAAGAACAACGCTGAGAAGCTGATTCTAGCGCGCCGGCCTAGTTGCCACTGCACTGCTCATGAACACAGTTCAAACTTCAGTTCACGGGCAATTTGTACGGTGTGGTGTGTATTGTGTGCGACAGACTGTGTTTTCGGGTGAACGTGGGCAAAGTCGTTCCAATGGTGTCTACTTCGACCATCTTCGAGATATATGAAGAAGACAGCCCATATTTTTATCAACGCACTTTGAGCATCCCATTTTGATCGTGGCTCGCCTTAAATACAAGTATCTCTCGCGTATACTATACGCGCCGTCGACAGCGACGAAGGAGAGGAGAAAGCGACGGGCGGACCAGGTTTGACAGTGAATGGCGCATTAACGGCAGCCGACAACCTTCATGCCGTCATCATCTAGAGCGTCGCGATTGCGTCGTACGGCGCCAGGGACATCTGACCGCCTTCACAAGAGAGCAACACAGTGCGCTCTGGCGATTACGGTCTGATAAGGTTCGCCGACAAGTGTGGAGGTGCCACAGGGAGCGAGTCAATCGAGGCAGAGGTGCGGAGCGTTCGCTCTGCATTTGGCTACATGACTGGTGAACGATGATTGTGGCCGTCTGAAGTGTCAAGCCACCGGAAGCAGACGCGTCGGATTTTCGCCGTCGTCATGCCGTTTCGAGGATTTCGCATTCCACTTCGCACGTGAGCCACTATTTTCGAATTTCATTCTCCAACCACGGCTGGTGCGTGAGTGAGCTCGCGCTATATCCTGGTCCGGCGTGTCACGAGCTCGCGAGACAAGCAGAGATTCATTGAGGAGTAGTGTTTTGAGTTCTGTGCGAGGAAACGGTAAAACATAAATCTGGAGTACAGTTGAACGCAGCTGAACTACAGTGGTCGAACGGACGCTTTCCTAGGTCTAACACACCACAACGAAAATTACAATTACCAGGGCAACGGTCTTGATTTGTGCTTCTCTAACTTGGGTAATTTAAGCGTAACTCCGAGTAAAATATCAATCATACCGCAATATAAATACCGTCAGGCGCTGGATATAACTTTCCCAATTGTAGGCGGCTTGACACGAATTCCTTCTAACGATTTATCTTCGTGGAGGAGTTATAACTTTACCAAGGGAGATAATTCTGGACTCTATCACCATTTCTCAGAAATTGACTGGGCTCAAAAAATGCAGCTTGATGACATCAAAGAATAAATCAGCAAATTCACTGAAATTATTCAGGATGGCATGCAAGAGTATATTCCCTTAAATTCAAGCCGCAGGGTTGAATATCCGTACTGGGTTTTGGCTGAATTGAGAGCGGTCTTTGGGAGGGAATCCTTTTTACACAAAGAATAAAAGAAAACTGGCCTCCGTAAGTGATCAGATCAAAAAAATATTTATTAAAATGATTGTGTTCCGCCACACCTCTTGAATGAAATCATCTGGTGTGCCTCCATAAGTAAGAAATTGAATTTAAACAGTGCAGGAAAGAATGCCTAAACAGTAATGAATCGGGATTTCCAGGCGCACCAGGAAGCGGGGAGTCGGAGTTATATCATAGTCCCAAAAAAGTTTCTGAAGTACGTCGGCTTGCATACAGCAAAGGCTGAATACAATTGTTCTAGAAGGTGTCGCTGCAGAAAACACAGCGGACACATTTGCCGATAACTTCAGGTCAATTTACACAGACCAGATAGGTGCCGTTTCTCATGACTCTCATTCAGCTGGGCTTGACAACATCCTCCACTCGATCTCAACAACAAGGTGGTCGAAGAGTGTATAAAAAAGATGAAACCGAAGTTGTCGGCTGGTCACGACGAAATGCTATCAGCTCTAATTACAACTTATCGTGATTTATTTAGCCCCGCGATGTGTGAGATATTTAACAACTCATGAAATTCCGGTTTATTTCTAAACATATTGAAGCTCGCTGTGGTTGTTTCTGTCCATATGTCAGGAAAAAGGGGAGATGCATCCAATTATAAACCGATCCCCCTACTGAGCTCCATCTCTAATACCCCATTCACATGGTCGTAAACGTGCCTTTAGCTAGGGATCTTTATGGCGGGTGGCGAATCACTTCTCGATCCTCCGCGCGTGGCAAGTGCTCGCAACCCAAGAGATCAGGCTGATTCGCCGATTGAAATGGGACCTATGTTAATGATACCTTTAGGCTCACCGTTTGAATGGGGTATCAAGTTCTTGAATTGGTTGTCCAGAAAGCATTTTCCGTTCTCGTTCAGAAATTTTTAATTCCCACCAGCATAGATTTGTTCCCGGCAGGTCGACGACAACTAATATGGTTACTTTTACTTCAACTGCTTCACGTGTCGTGAGTAAATAGGACCAACTCGATGTAGTTTATACTTATTTAAGCAAGGCATTTGACCCAGTTGATCACGAAATCCTGCTGTCTAAACTTTCTTCCTATTGGAGGAGAAATGCTTGATTTGTTCAAACGTTACGTACAGCATAGGAAGAGTTTTGTTCAAGTTAATCATATAACTTCCACAACCTAGAAAACGAACTCTGGTGTGCCTCAGTGATCTGTTTTAGGCCACCTCCTAATTTTTATATGTGTGAATGATATCTCTCTTGCTATCTAAATTCTTTATTTCTTTAGTATGCCGATAATATTAAAATCTACCGAGGAATTTGATCCACTGACGACTGCGTAGCGTTTCAGACCGACGCAAACGGATTTAACATTTGGTGTAGAGATAATAAACTCCGTTTTAATTGTTAAAACACATAATAAATAACGTTTCTTTTTTGTTTTTTGCTTTCTGAAAAACGCAAAAAAAAAATATTCTTATCGCATTGGCGGCGATATATTTTCTCATGTAACGGAAGTAAGAGACCCCGGTGTGGTCTTCGATTCAAGCCTGTGTTTTGATGTTCATGTAAGATGAATAGTTTGCGCATCGTTACGAGCTTTGGGAGTCGTATGTTGCTTGACAAGGAAATTCACCAATCTTTGTACTTTTATTTCGCTTAACTGTTGACTGAGCCGTTCTTAGTTAGAGTACGAGCTGAAGGTGGGGAATGGTTTTTGTAAAAGTAATTTGCTAAGAATTGAAGGTGTAATACCGTTGAAACTTGGGCAAGTTGGTTCTGCATTTCAGAAAATTAAAACAGCGCGAAGACGAGTAGATGGACACAGACAGAGCGCTCTCTCCCTCTTTGTCTGCATCTATACTCGTCCGTCGACCTTCTTCGCGCTGTTCCTAATTTCCACAAAAGTTGAAAGTTAATACAAAAAATTAATTTCAATCTTTAAGCACCACTTCTGTACAAGCGATGAACAGTTTTTGAATTACTAGGCTTTGTTGAAGCATGTCAGACTACTTGAAATGGTCTTGATCGATGCCGAGAGAAGGAGGATTTGTTATTTTTGTTTAAGACCCTGCATGGATTCATTAATCTCTTGGACGGAAGATCACAGATCGCCTCCGTAGATAATGTTAATAGTACTTTACGCATGCTTCAGGTCGGCGATCTGCAGGGATCAGTTTTATTCACTTTGCTTTTTTAATATTTATGTCAATGATTTGGAATCGGTTATTTCGGGATGTACATCTTCCAATATCCGGATGATACCTTACTGGTTTCACGATATGTACACTTTTTTTCAGGCTGTCAATATTTTGCAGTGTAATATTATTAAACTGATGGATTGGTACTCTTCATATGGGATAAAAGTCAACCCTTCAAAAACCAAGCTTGTGTGTTTTAGAAATCTTTAAAGTCGGGCTTTTCCAAGTATCCCATCCTTTCTACACAATTCCGATTGCAAACCATGTTTTTGTGCGCCAGTTTCCTGGGTAGACTCAACTAGATATATGGGCCCTATTTTTTAATACGATATATCTTGGAATAAACATAAGACTTATGTCTGTAATGTTCTTAGGAATGTGTCTTGCATGTTGCATAATGTCAAAATGTTCGTTCCTTTTGGTGTAAAAAAATTATCGTTCATGCACTTGTATGTAGTGTCCTGCGTTACGGCGTCATGATTCATGCCCTTTGCACAGTGTTTTTGCGGGCTAAAGTTAATTGTCTTTTGAAAGGAACCTGGCGCAGTGCAGCCTATAATTCTCCGTACTCACCCAGTAAAGATTTTTTTCAAAGATTTGTAGATTCCTACTTTGTTACAGTTGTTTACTGAAACGGTTTTCTAGTGTGACAAATTCGAAACACTTTATGAACTTTCACGCCTTCTTTGTGTGTCCCCTCGCTTTAAGATATTCAAATGCAAGACTGCATACGGGAAAAAAAAAGCGCAGCTCCTATGTCTCGGAGGTTTTTAATGCTCTCCCAGATGAAGTGTATGCTGTTACAGGTAAAGCGAAACTAAAAAAAAAAAAAAATGGCTTCGTTCGTACGTTGCAGAGATCTAAGATGTTTTGCTTCGGTCCTTGCCCAGTTGTTGTGTCTATTAATATGTTTATTTTCTTCTTTTTATCTGGGGAAAGGGAGGGGGAGGGGTCACTTTGAATGAATGCTACGGGTGTTCGCTTTGGCATTTGTATAATGCTATTGTTCTTATTGCATTGCAAATTGTTTTCCCAAAGGCTTTGAGTTTTGTGGGTTTTTGTTTTCTTCTTTCTTTTTGTTCTCTCTCTCTCTTTTTGTGCATATAGATTAGTTCCTTTCATCTGTCCGACTCGCCAGGTTTAGTCGCGCAAACCTTCATCGGCTTAGACGGTGCTGTTACTCTATATGTGCTGACGATCGTTGTGACAATAAACCTGCATTTCTCACATTGTACTTACTGTTCATTAGTAAGGTCACAGCTGGAGTACGCCTCAGTTGTGTGGAATGGAATTTCCCAAACCAATTCTGTGGGGACTGAGCGAGTTCAAAAGAAGTTTATTTCTATCATGAAGCATCGCTATCTTAAAGAGGATGTACCTGGTAAGAATTATGAAGATGCGTTAAAACTTTTTAAATTTCTTAGCCTGCACCGGCGTCGGGAGAAAGCTGATTTGTTGTTTCTGTTTAAGGTCACGCACGGTCTAACTGATTCGCCATACCTCTTGTCTCAAGTAAGTCTTAGAGTTCCGCGCGTACGTACACGTCTTCAATCATCTATTTATACCTCTCGAGCTTTTAATCAGCTAGTCCCAATCCTCAGGTTGGCTGAATGTTATAATCGTCACTCGGAAGTACTTGATATTCTTGACTCGTGCTATTCGGCTTTCAATCAATATATTGTTAACGTGTTCATGCTTGAGCAGGAGTGAAAAGTGCTGGATATCCGACTGTGTGAAACTTATTGTTTTTTCCAATGTGTGTGCGTTGCAGGTGTCTCACTGCTTCGCATTAACTTTTCCCGCTTTAACTTTCCTTCGAACAGATGATTCTCACCAGCAGAATTCCTATCTTTGTTACCCTTCTGCATTTGTTGGGTCTTGTATAAAATTGTGTTCCTTGTGTTTTTGTTAATTTGTAGTTATAAGTGTGCCAGCACCAAAACCGCGAGGTCGTTCCTGGACACTTTAATAAACATTGATTGATTGATTGATTGATTGATTATTATTATTATTATATAGGGGATTTTAATATCGATTCTTTGAAAACATCAAGTTCAATTGTCTGCGACTATCTCAATGTCCTATCCAACGTAGGATTTGTGAACGTTATTAACTCGCCAACACGGGAAGAATACATGACAGATAAATTAGTATCATCATGC